GATAAATGCATGCAGACGGTAAAGAGAGATCTCAAAACGATTTGCTGAACAACTTCAATACCCCCCCCCCCAAAAAAAAAGTATTGATGAGAAACAGAGAAAACAAACAGATGAGAAAAAGATAGCATTTTATGTTGTATCAACTCTTAGATCAACAGTATCTAAGTTTAAAGGCAGAAAAATGTCAGTTTGTTTCAACTGGACAATTATTGTGTGTTCAGATGTTACAACCCCAAAATTGGCAACCCAGTTGCAATGCTGTAACACTGCAATTAACCAAACAGCAAATTGAAGCACCTATATGTCAAACAGCTGCTTTTATTACACTGACAGTGTTGGATGAACACAGTTTTGCCACATGCAGTTTCCTTTCTCTCGCCATGTTGGGTGTGCTGAATATCTGCAGGAGGTCTGGTGGCACTTATAACAGCTTGAGAGCTTGGGCACACTCCAAAAAAAAACTAAAAAAAAAAAAAACTCTAAATATAAATAATCCTAGTAAATTAAAAATGAATTGAATTCAAATGAAAATCGAACAAACAGAGCTTATTAATCTAGAAATCATGAAACTTAACTCTTTGAAATACATGCTTTTAAATCTGATACTGGCAACATGTTTCATTCAAGTCATGTTTACCTCAGTGTTGCATCATTTTTTTAACAGCACTCTGTTTCAGAGCTGCTTTACCGTAGTTGAAAAAGATATTTTCTTTCTTCCCAGTTTTGCTTGATGTAAACTTCAGATGTTTAACTTCAGCATAAATTATTCCCACTTCTGATAGATTTGATCAAAGATTTGGCAATAGTATTCGTAATCTGTGAAACAAAAGGGATGGAAAGAGGATGCCATGCCTATCTGGGATGCTCTTTTTAGACTCAGTCATGTTATTAATAGAGCTTTATTAATGAACTAGTTGTGAGATGTCTCACCAGGTGTTTTTTTAAGAACTGCAAAACTGTTTGTTGCCTTTATATCACTGTTTCATTTAAGAGTTTTTACCAGCAAATTCAACATATCTGTCAAAAATAATCAACATTTTTTAAGGTGTTTTTTGTGCTACTTTTGATTCAATATGTGCTAAATGATCTAAAAAATGTGTTTTTATTACCATTTTACACAGTGTCACAACTATACTTGTATCAAGGTTGTATGAAGCAGGACTACAACCAGACATAATCATCTGTGACAACTACACATGTCCCAGATTTAGCATTAACTTTTCTATTACTGGTCCAGCTATATATATATATATATATATATATATAAACACCCAGCACGCCCCTGCGGGCGGTTTATCCTTCAAGCTCGGGTCCTCTACCAGAGGCCTGGGAGCTTGAGGGTCCTGCGCAGTATCTTAGCTGTTCCCAGGACTGCGCTCTTCTGGACAGAGATCTCCGATGTTTTTCCTGGGATCTGCTGGAGCCACTCGCCTAGCTTGGGAGTCACCGCACCTAGTGCTCCGATTACCACGGGGACCACCGTTACCTTCACCCTCCACATCCTCTCGAGCTCTTCTCTGAGCCCTTGGTATTTCTCCAGCTTCTCGTGTTCCTTCTTCCTGATATTGCTGTCATTCGGAACCGCTACATCGATCACTACGGCCATCTTCTTCTGTTTGTCTACCACCACTATGTCCGGTTGGTTAGCCACCACCATTTTGTCCGTCTGTATCTGGAAGTCCCACAGGATCTTAGCTCGGTCATTCTCCACCACCCTTGGGGGCATCTCCCATTTTGACCTCGGGACTTCCAGGTTATACTCGGCACAGATGTTCCTGTACACTATGCCGGCCACTTGGTTATGGCGTTCCATGTATGCCTTGCCTGCTAGCATCTTGCACCCTGCTGTTATGTGCTGGATTGTCTCTGGGGCATCTTTACACAGCCTGCACCTGGGGTCTTGCCTGGTGTGATAGACCCCAGCCTCTATGGATCTTGTGCTCAGAGCTTGTTCTTGTGCTGCCATGATTAGTGCCTCTGTGCTGTCTTTCAGTCCAGCTTTGTCCAGCCACTGGTAGGATTTCTGGATATCAGCCACCTCCTCTATCTGCCGGTGGTACATACCGTGCAGGGGCCTGTCCTTCCATGATGGTTCCTCGTCTCCCTCCTCTTTCTTGGGTTTCTGCTGCCTGAGGTATTCACTGAGCACTCGGTCAGTTGGGGCCATCTTCCTAATGTATTCTTGGATGTTCGTTGTCTCATCCTGGACTGTGGTGCTTACACTCACCAGTCCCCGGCCCCCTTCCTTCCGCTTAGCGTACAGCCTCAGGGTGCTGGATTTGGGGTGAAACCCTCCATGCATGGTAAGGAGCTTTCTTGTCTTTATGTCAGTGGCTTCTATCTCCTCCTTTGGCCAGCCTATTACCCCAGCAGGGTACCTGATCACGGGCAGGGCGTACGTGTTGATGGCCCGGATCTTGTTCTTACCATTCAGCTGACTCCTCAGGACTTGCCTGACCCTCTGCAGGTACTTGGTGGTTGCAGCTTTTCTAGCGGCCTC